CACGCGTTACAATAAAACATTTATATTATTAACTATTACCATCACTTGGTCATACATAACTCAATAAGTTGTTGCGTCAAAATTAAAACATTATTACAATTAATTTTATTATGATAAACTAATTCTTAAAAATGCATATGAAAAACCAAAACGCCAACTGAATATTATTCTTTAAAAAATTTCAGTAAATGTTCAAAAACATTTTCGTTTTGGCAAAGGTTGAAAATGAAGATCAGCGTAATATGTATTATCGGAATTTATTATATCTGTATTCGCAACTGTGAAAGAGCATGTCAGATGTATTTGTATGAATATCCTGAAAAAAATAGATCGGAATTGGTTTGAATTTTGAGCACTCGAGAAGCCTAGAAATAACAATGCACAAGGGAATAAAACTCTAATAATGTTTTTAATTCGTGGTTGTAATAGTTTAAATAACTAGATGGATTTCACAGGGTCTAGCGATGCTTACAGTGTACGATAATTCAATAAACAAAGAAATCTAAATAAAAAATTTAGATAAATTTGGAACGAATACACTGAAGACAAAACGTCTGAATCTGGTTCCGGCTGAGGCAGTACAGTATAGGGGGTCATGATGGCTTGCAAAAAATGTAATAAAATTTCCAGGGTCGTATTTAAAAAAATGAAGTTGATGATGGTCCTGGAGAGACGAAACGTTACATATAAAAATTGATTATGCCATTCGATAGAGGGCAAAAAGTGGCAATGAGAAAGTGTTCTTCTTGTTTTCAATATCGCCTCAAACAAGGTTGAAATGAAACGAAAACGGATTTCCAAAATTTCGGTTTTTTTCAAATATTTCGAAAACTAGTAATGTTAGCCTTGATTTTTTAGAGGCATAATGTTGGTCCCCTGGTTACGCAACTTTGCCCCCATTTAAGCTACTTCGTACCTCTTACCGTTTTCGAGATCCCTGTAGTGAGAAGCGAATTTGTAATAGCCTGTATAGGTATCGCGCACTTGTTGTTGTTGTGATATGTATCTTGTATTTGTCTGTTTTTTTCAGTTAGTGATTTTTGGTTAAGCAAAACCATTTTCATAAAAAATAACTCTTGACTGATCCTTTTGGCGTAAGAGTGTATTTCTTTAACTTTTTTTTAAAATGTGAAAAAATTGGTAATTAGACTCCCTCATATTTTTTAAATAATAAAATTAGCATGTAACCATTAAAATGAGACAATCTCTCAGCGTCGACATATTTATATGTAAAATCTTCCTTCATCTGAAGTGGACAACTTAGTGTAAACATCATTTACTCCCATTTTGTTTATTCTAAAGCCGAGATAAAGGAAATTTAGAAGTAGGTAGTTCTCGTAAATATTTACCAATATGTTGCAAAAAAAATATGTTAGTATCCTGATTAGTTATTGTTTAGGTAAAAAAGTTTTATAAATATTTAAGTTGTCAGCGGTTCAACTTATATTCAGTACAATATTGTGTGCTAGCATCTAAAAGTACGTACAACAGGAAACCATAGCTCCCTGCACTGGCGTTTGTTTATAATTTTTTAGTCCGTTTTTTTACGGCGTGTACACTCATACGGGGCGGTTCACGTTTTCGTGTCAATTTCGCTTTTTTTCTTTTATATTTTTTATGCGACCTAAGACAAATATGTGTGATTTTTTATCTGACCTAAGCGATACACGAGTAGGTTAGGTAGTAAAGGGCCCGCTCCACATTGAAATATGTCATGCCGTCATTCTTGTCATGTTCCTCATGTCGTAAAAGATCTAAAGTGGCTCCTGGCGTCAGTCTAGGACACACATATTGGCTTGTCTATTGGTGCTAGACCTACTAATGTCTGAATGACACCTACAGACAATGCCCTTTTGTCATATGTTACGGATTCATCACTAGCAAAACATCCTGTGCCTTATTCTGTTTCTTAAAACTGTAATTCGATATCAAGCATAAAATTATTAGGATTAATTTTATACAAGATCACAGAAACGGAAATTAAAGAAAAGTATAATTTTTCTTTTGCCTAAATATCGATTTACCAGTTAAGCGAATTTCTATAACGGTTGCATAAATATTGATATCTCATACTCTTCAATAACATTAAATGAAGTTTTAATAATTTATACAAAGGCATATTATTTATTTACCTCAGTGTTTATTTGTAATAACATTATATTTAGTTAGTTGAAATACCATGTTGCATTACTAGTCACAAATGAACATTGCTAGAATAGTTATAATATACTCGTACATACCGAGTGATCACTTTGATTAATCTTATTGGTTGAGCCAAAACAGATCGGTGTAAAATCACACGTTTATTTATATTTGCATGAAATTCGGTAAAAACAGAAAATATTAGGAGTAATACAATACTTTTTAAAAAGAAAAGTGGCACATCTTGTACATTTAGGATTTAGGAAAGATTGAAAAATTATTTCAATTAGTATAATTCCTTTAAATCTAGGTAGAAATAACATCTAAGCTATTAATTTTAAAGGCATAATTTTACTCCTATTTCCTTTAAAAAGCATTTTGAAGTATTATTTATAAATTAATTTAATTATATTACTACTTTCCAAACACCTTATAGCATTTATAATGGTAACAATCTTATAGCTGATAAATTTACATTAGTAAATTCTAATTGCATCACAGGACAGGTTATGCTGCTAGCAAACAGAATTAAACGGATAATTCTAAATCCAACGCGTAGCATCTACGTGTTGGATTAACAACTTGGATTTGCATCCCTGCAGGGGTTGTTGTCGTAGAAGCGCTCCTATGGCTTTAGCGCATCCTGGATTGATATAAAATCCTGCCACTTCCTGTAGGACACCAGAAGTCAGCGATGGACAGAATCATCATAGTCGCTTGTGCTTCCCTCATCATTCTTAACATCTACAGCCATATGGTTCTTGCTACTCATGATGTAAGTTTAATCCTTCAGCTATCTGCCTTAATTCTTTAATTTTGTAGCATTATTTTAAATATCTAGTTCAGAACCATGGTAATTTTCAGTATGATTCGTCCTTATACTCGAGCAAATACAGAGAAATCGACAGCAAAGCGGCACCTCTGTGGTTCTCCTCAAACCTGGGTAGAAGAAAACGAAATTTAAAGAATAGTGTGACACAACACGAATTAATTGATCTTTGGGAGGCTCTTGCAAAGTCAGCAACAGCTTTAGTTACAATAGATGGGAACGACGAATTTGTTTGCAGAAGTATGCCCAATAATCGATTTTATCTAGTGGAAGGTGAATCTAATTTATATAATAATATTTTTGTGCAGTGCTTGACGACTTTATAAGAGTTCAAAAGTATACATGGTGAGTCATACTTAGGTATAAAAATATAACGAAAGCTTTTTCTGACCTAAACAAGGCAGTATATACCGAATACCGTTCCTGAATGTGAAAATGTCTTATTAAAATGTTATAGGTCTTCAAATAAATGTTTGGTGTTTTAGTTTTTACCTAATGCAGAGAGATCGCTAAGAATACCTGAAACAAAATTTTTTACATATTTACAAAAGAAATATTAGGTATTTCTGAAATTCTTGCCCTGACATTTTCAACTTGATTGGTGAAACAGTTTTCTAGATATTTATTTCCAAAATTCCAAAAGTTTTTTTTTAATTTGACACTTTGTAGATTGAAAAGGAGCAACATTTATTTAGAATTTAAGAATATGTGTTCTATTCTTATTGAAAGGCCTTTATTTTAAAAATTATAAGAATGTTCAATTCATTTCAAAATTGTATTTTATTAATGAACAATGCTCAAGAGTGTACAAAAGGAGGAGGAACGTTTTAAATTTAATATAAGTACCAGTCCATACTTTTTTTTAAACGTAACGTTTAAATTTATTAAGTAATCCTTTGACTTACCTCCAAAACTGTAATTGTTTTTATTTTTAAATTGTTTTTATAAATATCAAAAAGAATTAATTGTTCAAGGAGTTGACAAGAGTGAGTTTAATCCAAGATTAGGAAGAAAAATAGAAGAGATTCCAGGAAACGAGAAATGGTTGAGAGACATTGTAACCGCCGAAGTGGATGAAAGATCTCCCCCTTTTGCCCCGCGACTAGGAAGAAGGCTTTCCCCATACTCACCTCGACTGGGACGGGAAGCATAAAATAGACTGGAACTGTTATTATTTATAAAAACTGCTAATGTAGAAATATAGATGATTCTCCTCATGCGGAATAAAATATTTTAAGAAATAATGATTTTTTTCTGAACCCCCTTCCCCCCAATTAAATATGTTTAGTCCCTGTAGTTAGTAAAATTAAAAAATACATATGTTATATTGCAATTGCTACTACAAAGAAAATGTACATTAATCGTTTAAATCTTTAATAACAATAATTGTTCCATAATTTAAATTTTAATTTTACTGAAATTGTCTTCTTTAGCGATTTTTTTTAAAATTAATAATTTTTTCAATTAAAGTCGCTTTTTCATACTACAAGGTCAAAGCGTCAAAGCTTACGTTTTTCAAGAGACAAAAAGGTACTAAGTTTGGCAGTTGGTACTTAATTGATTTAAAGATATTACAAATATAAAAAAACATATTGTCAATAGGTCATCTTCAAACTGCGAATATCTTTATTAGGAATACGAGTTGATTCCTAGTTTATTTCATTTTGACGGAGGAACACACTGTAGAAGTGTTACAGTCGAATTAAGAGACACCCTGTATAAGAAGGAAATGTATTTATTAGTATGTATTGCATCTTATAAATACAATATAAATAAATCTATAATTTTAATATTTGTTTTAAGTGTTATTTTAACAAATAATTGATTATTATTAGTTTATTAATTCTTAACAAAGCACTAACATTTTTTCATTCTTGGTGAATGCATTCTGTGTCTTTTGGTTATGCAACCAGAAGAGCACCAAGTGAATGTAGGCAACTCAAAAAACAGAAGAAAAAGATTTCTCTTTTGTGCGAGTTCTTGTCGTGTAGGTTCGGGGTCGTGCATTTCCGTGGTTTTTACGGTTCAATGTTGCTTGTCTTGCTTGTTTGACAACAGAATAGAAGCGATTGCGTTCCATAAAAAAAATTCGTCGAAATTTACTGATAAACAGAAAAAAGTGTGCCAGGTGCCAGGTATCAAGTATAGAGCATATATTTTGCGTCAAAGTTATCTGCAGTGGCATTTCAACCATTGGTAAGTCAAATTACCTTTTTTTCGCAATGTGCTACTTGCCTAAAATGGAGGAGATTGGGAATAAGCTGCATATATTATATTGCAAAAGTTTTGTAATTTGTGCCGTTTTAGACTATGAAAATGCCGGGAAATCAGTCTACTGATAATGGTATATACGAATATGAAGAAAATTCATACTTTTCTGAAGGGTTAGATCAAAATGGGGTTGAGGAGTTTAATGCACCCCCTGAAAACGACTTTTCTGAGTATCTTTGGATGGAACATGAGGAGGAATTCGATAAAGAGGTAATACTTAGCAGAACGACAAAAAAATAATTTTTCATAAGAATCTCTGCAGGTCATGCAACGATTAGAGGAAGAAGCTCTAATGGAGGAGTGTATGGAAGCCTTTATGAATGATGAAAACAACTCTCCCAATCCCAATGCTCAGCCTGGGTAAGTCTTACAGATTTTCTTTGATTTTACAAGTGTGTGCCAATTTGCAATATGTAACTTTCATATCACTTTGTTGACAAATTTATTTGTTCCTTTGAGACAATAGACTTAAGAAGAATGATAAATATATGGATTAAGAGCCGAGATAAGTGGAAGTTTGATAAAAAAAATTGCCTAAATATAAATATCTCTGTTTCACTTCAGTTTTCAATGTTGATGAAATCTATCAAGGTTATGCATAAGAAAATATGTTTATAATTTATTTGTGAAACAACAGATTGCCAAATCCTTTCTCCATAGTTTAAATTTGCTGATTTGTGAAAAGGTGATCTACTTTTACTAATTGATGTTTATTTAATTAATGATGGTTCTGCAAAATTTTTTATTTACATTTTTAATACTTGACTATTTAATAAATATCTGTTATATTTTCATGGACTTATGGTGAGAGACGGTGTCAATGCTCACCTTGTTGACACTTTGAATACAAATTAATCAAAACTAATCATACTTTCTCTGATATGGTGTGACACAAATTTAATTTGTAGTTTTTTGTCCTCAATATTGCTATTATAAAGGAAACTTATTTATTTGTCATTTATTTTTAATTACATAGATATACTTAATTGATTTTAAGAAATATATTAAAGTAAGTAAAATCCTAAACGGATATTTTTATTTATTGCGTAGTTAATTCTACATTCTACAAATAAAAATAAATTCAAATTTCATATGATAAAAATTTCCTTCCTTGTATATAATTATAACATTTGCAGAAATGATCCATTATATATGCATATAAAAACATAAACAACTTACCAGCCATATTCAGCTCCATAAACAATTAATTTATTTTTTTCTAAATTAAAAAAATTGTTCAATATGAATATATTTTACAAAGTTCATTAATTTTTCCAAGGCTTGTTCAACTGGTAGTTCATTATATTTTCTTGGCACTACTTTTAAAAATTCCCATTTTTTTAGTTAGCTAAAAATTAAACTTTTTTTTTTCTTTTGTAAACACAATATATCGTCTCAATATGCTACACATTTTAAGTATTAATTAGGAATAAAATGTCTATCTAGTGATACGTATAGGTGCTATTAATTTGGCCATATCATTAGAAGTAGGTATAAATGTTTTTTTAAAGACAATGACAACAACAATGATTTTAATAAATACCTGGTTAGGACACGTATTATTATTTACAGTTTTTTGTATATTTCATATGGTATGGTGGATCTATTTTCAGTTTTTTTACAACCCAGTTTCGACTGAAGGAAATTAAAGTAGTTAGTTTTTTTAGGGGACGATTTCTAAGCTCACATAGAGAATTTTCATGAAGAAAAAATTTCGAACGATATTTTGGATCTTGAAAAGGGTTTTACTTGTATGTGCAAAATTTTTCACAAAATAATTTTTCTTTGTAGTTCCATGTTTAAATTTTAATTTGAAACTAACATTTTATTTTTCTAACTAGAGAATGGCAACCTCTAATTTCATTTTTTATTTAGGAAATTTCTTCCGATTTTTTTTTATCATGAAAGGGCATAGCCATTGTCCAGTGAAAAATATATTACTAAAATTTGACTACTTAATTTTTACAAGCTGATATTGTTATGACATAATTTTTTCTGTTATTACGAATATATGACACAATTGATCACAGTTTGTTATAAACATTATTTGGGTATTCATTTATTTCATTCATAACAGTTTAATGTATACATTTTTTTTTGTTATTTTCATAGTAAGTTATAAAAACGATATACAGGTTCGGAAAGTCCCCATGGTACATCGGCCGTTATGTGAGAGCGATAAAGTAAGTCATAGAAATCCGTGCGATAGATAAGGATGGTTACATTGAAGACGTTTCATAATCTGAATAGGCACTCCCACTTCTAACCCGAAACGGACGGTGACTATTCAGATTATGAAACGTCTTCACTATATCCATCCTTGTCTATCGCACGGATTTCTTTACTTTACTCTGTCAGTCTCATGTAAAGGCAGATGGACCATGTGGATTTTCCAGCCCTGTTTATAGAAAGACAAGTATATTATAATAATTTTAAAAAAAAGCTATCGAATATATGACATTTTATTGTTTCAAATATTTTTCCAATCTGGTTAAATGCATGGATTGTAACATACACAAATCAGATGTCAAAATCCTATAAAATTGTTTTGTATTAGAACCCGGCCTACAACTACCTGATTCCTATCCAATAACGCCAGTCCACGTGTTGATGTTGGAACTCGGTGCATATGCAACAATTTCTAAATTTTTAATTTTTTTTTTAATAGGTACTGTTAAGTAAATCTCCTTGTGTGTGACTTATTTGTGTATTATACTGTATTTATTGAATGCTGATTGGTTTTGAAAGTAATTGAATGCGAAATCTTGGTTTTTTAGAAATCCACCTTGTCCTGAGAATGTGGCCAACTCAAAATTGAATCCAGAGGCTGCCGAATTTGTCCCATCTAACCGAAGGGCACCCCAGGAGATACCGGCAACAACTTCTTCTTAATCGTAACCTGAAAAAGATCTCGCATACTGTAAATATGTAATTCTTTGTTTTATTTTCTCATTATCATGGTCATCATGAACTAATTCGGCATTGTCCCTCATTGATTTTCCCCTTTGTATTTTTTTGTAAAATATTTAATTTGTAATTTTTGACCCGATAAAACTTTGACAGGGTGTGTGATCGGATTTTTAAAACTATGATATATTTTTAATATAGGAAGGATCGAATCTCATTTGTATATAATTTGTTTGCTGTAATTGAATGATTTTATTAAAAATATATCGTAGACCAAGGCAGCCATTTTTTCTGTCAGTAATGAATTGGTTACATTAAGACTTTCATGTTTTCTTACACTTTACATTGTAAGCTTAGTCACTTTTTCGGAGCTTACCAGTAACAGCTCTACAGGAGCTCAAATCTCCCAAAGTAGTGTCAGATCTGGTTTACAATTAGTTTAGAAAAATAGAGTCAGAAAAATTGTATTTCAGAATTCACTTATTTAAATCATGTATCGTTTTGTTTTATTAATTCTATACTATGTAGATTTGAGTCTGTGGACTGGTTTTTCCTAGATTTAGAGATATTTGTGGTTGGTAATTGTGCAAAAAAATACATCACATTAATGTAAACTTGTTCAAAGTTAGAGTAAGTATAATGAGTAATCACAAAATAAAGTGTACCAAAGATGATTAATTGTGGATTTCATCATTATAAAATTTTAAAATTAGGGGTTTTCTTGCTTTAATTAAGGTAATGAGTGTTAGGTAATAACTAGAATTAAAATAAATGTCACTGTTAATGTTTTATGTATAGAAAAAAAAAGTAATATCCATTGCAGTGATTAAATTGTCTAAAAAATATGTTTTTTTATCCAACTTTTTTATTATCTTACCAACTTTTTTTTATTATTATTTTTCATTTACCCTGGTAGAATAAAACATTAAAAATACATATTTTTTAAGACAAAAATTGGTAGGTCTTTGACGAGTAATATATTATCGCTTTATAAAATAACAAGAGCATACAATTGAGATTTTTTGGTATGGCTATGGTGAAACATTTTTGGAAGGGTTAGAGTAGTAAAAATTTTAGTCAAGAAACAAGTAATTAGAAAACCAGTAGTTCCAAACGTGTTCTATCACGGTCAACTTTTCTAGAGTACGCGACTGTAACGTTAAGTTGGTAGGTTTTATTTTGTGATGTATTCAAATAAAAAATCTGTCCTCGCCACAATCTCAATGCACACAGTTATTGTGGGTGATAAAAAAGGCTGTGCGAGAACAACAAAAATATTTTGTACCCTCAAGTCGACACTCTCATTGTGTTTGCTCTCTTTTGTAAAAAAAATATTAATTTTAAATTGGTGCAAAGAAAGAATTAAATTATTTAAATAATACCGTTTTTTTTAATCTACTCTGATCCCCATCCTTTGGTCAGATTGCTATGAATTATTAATTCAGAAATTACCTAATCAACCCCTTGCCAGAAGGTCACTCGAGGTTGATTTTTATGAATTTCTTATTGTCCAACCAAAAACCACACTGAAAAAGTAGCCAAATTTGAAAAAATGCATCACTGTCCAAGTTCATGCAATAATTTGATACATGTCTCACCAATTAATAAAATTATGTTTCTTTAATTTTTTAACATTTTTGGTCAAATAGTTTTTCCTAAATTTTTTTTAGTATTTTATCAATATACTCTTCATACTACATACTCTGAACATTTTGATGTCAAATGTAATTTTATTATAGCAGGAATTACAGGTATCTGGAATCATGGGCGTAGCTAGGGGGAGGGGGGCAGGGGTGTGCATGGCCCACCCCAGACCGCAGAAAAAAAAATTAAATCCAATATCATCTTTCTCATATTGGTAAGTCACTGACTGCGCCTCGTTTTTTTGTATAGAATCAAATGAAAAAGTGCTTAGGTTTTGAAACAGTATATCGGTAAATCGTTGATTGTTTTTTTTTTAGAGACCTCCATACAACTTGCAGCAAACCTGGGCCCACTCCAAGCAAAAATCTATTATCCCAGTAAATGAAATTTATAATACATGTAAATCAAAAGGTAATTCGTTTCAGATTGAAACTTGGTTTTCGTTAGCTTAGGCAAAAAGAAATAATATTTCCCAAAAAGTATCGGTTTAAAACAAGATCATTGTTTAAACAATGATTATAATGTAAAAATTACTAAAAATTAGTTTTTTAACTGTATTAAAAAGCGTTCTCCAACAGGAGTTTTTGCTTTTGTTTATACTTATAGGTTTTCAACAAACGCTTCATTTGAGACCTGCTAAATTAAAATCTATTAACAATTTGTTTAAATAATTGCAAAAAACCAGCGAAATTTTAATTTGCTATAAATAGATGAAAATAGCATAAATCGTCTCTAAACTGCAGTAAAAGTTGTATTTTGTTATGCTTAAGAAACCCTGAAAATTTGGTAAAAAAATATTTATTTGTTTACGAGTTTTTGCATTTGTTTATTAGAAATAGCATTTTTTCAATTGCAAAAACGAGGTTGTTAACGTTATAATAAAGGGCCTTCTGAGGGCTCATTTGTTTCGTCTTCAAGATATGCAAATGGAAAAAAATGGAAAATGGAAATTGTAATTTCATTGGCCAAATCCCGCCTCAAAGCGGCGTATAAACAAATAGCGTAATTTGTTTATAAGGTCTTTCGTTAATAACTTTGTGAAGAATGAATATTTTTTAAAGTCGCTTTGAAATTCGCAATCCTGGTAATTTTTCACGAATTTAAAAAAAAAATTGTTCTAAGACCATTTTTAGCCGAGATAGCGTTTTTTTTTTAATTCATAACTTATTTATAAACATTAAGACTTGAAATTTCGGGAATAACTCAATCAACCCTTAAGCTTCATAATAACGGTTAAAGATGTAGAAAAAAATGCATTTTATAGTAATTTTTAACACTTTAAAAACGTCCTTGAATACATTTTTACACCTGGAATGTGGTGGGGGAAATAAGACAGAAACGTTCCGAGACTTCAAATCTTAACTGCCCGAAAATTTTGGAGAGCGCTTTTTAATACAACTAAAAAACTCCATTTTTGGTCATTTTTACATTATAATTATTGTTTAAACAATGATCTTGTTTTAAACATACTTTTTGGGAACTATTATTTCTTTTTGCCTAAACTAACGATTAAACCAAGTTTCAATCTGCAACAAATTTTTTTTTTTACTGAGCTATATGCCCAAGTCTGGAATATCAGTAAATGAAGACGATCATAGATAAAAGTGATTTTAAAATTATTTAAAAAATTCTTTTCCGATCCTGATTGCCACTTCTGTGTCCAAGAAGACCAAAAGTGGATGAAAAAGATGAAAGTGCCGACAATGGAGTGAATTTGCTTGTTTCTGTATGTTGTGACGTCATGCATATTTTTTATTTAACTGCTCGCTTCAATGTGTAATTTTCAATTAGTCAAAGATAATTCAATAAAAACTCATTGATAAATCCTTTTAGCACAAAGTTCATTTAATTTTTTCATATTCCAAAGAAATAAGAAAAAACTAAAATTATGCCATGAATAAATAAGTTTAGACAATACATTTCCAAAAAAATTAAATTTTTAATAAATCTAACATCTGTTTTGACCATTGCTTTTTTTACACTTTCCATGTATAGTGTTTCCGAAGTCAGTTGAACATGTATAAAAAACCGAGCAATCAAATTTAATGAGTTTCATAGGTGTTCCTAAAATAGTTTTCTGTTAAAGGTAAAAAGTTATAATAATTTGTATACGAGTATAATGTGTAGAAAATTTCTATTATATGTTCGTTTGACCAACAACATATTTTAATTATTTATGTCTGCAAACAGTTATATTATATTGATGGTAAATTTTGTTTTGTTCCATTTCAAAAGCTCTCCAAAATGCCATGTTGTAATAATATTAGTAAACCAAATATCCCTCTTATTTCTCCCTTTCACAATTGTAATATGAATGATTGATAGAAAGTGCCTATAATAAATTAAAATTACCTGAATCACACAAAATTCCGCATTGCTGCACTGCACTGCTGGACAATTTGCCGACCACTTGTCAACTGCTGAGATTTATTGCCCAGTAGCCCAATGCAGCTGTGCTTGTTTTCCTTTTACCGCGCTCGCATTCTTCAACTGGGCATATACATTTCTACCACCTCCACGTTTAGTTCGACCAAACGTGTATATGGATATGGCTAAATATATAAATACATACTATACATCCTCATGGTTCTTCAGTTGATATCGGAAAGACTATAACACTGTAAGATGAATGTACTTTCAGAGCAGCAAAGAGTAAACGGTTGAAGATGATTCATGTCTGTTGGTTACAAAACAGGACAAGTTTGGGGTAAACCGTTTACAGGAGGGGAGAGTACAAAAATGAGGAAATTACATAAATATATATTTATTTAAATTTTACATAAAATTTCACATTAACATTTTAACAATAAGAGGCACAAATACTTGCTGTCCAAAATATTTAGAAGTCTGATCGATTCAAATGTAACTTGTATCGAAAATAAATTACAGGATGTTATTATTACAAATGGACTGAACAAATACGACCTCTTAAAAAACACAATCAAAACAATAAAATGATTTGAAAAAACAAAAATGCATGTCAGTAAGAAAATAAATAACACAGTCATTGGCATTGAACGATTCAATATTAATACTATAAAATAACAAAGGACTTAAACGAACAAGAAACCCACTAAGGTAAAATCTGAGAAATTGAATACTTAAAGAAATGAAAGGTAAGTAATAAAACACACAAACATACTTGTTAAAATTTACAGTTCAATAAAAATTTTTAAGATCACCTCTCTTATGCGAATTAATAAAAAGTGGTACTACTGAATAAAACCAACAATCTAAAAATAACACTTTTTTTTTTTGTTAATGGTAAATTTCAAAATGTCTAAATTTATTTCATGTATGGTTCTATAACACAATATGCACGAACCTTCAAGATTATTTTTTTTTCTATCATTTTTATCAACTTTGACATAACCCCTCTTTCCAATACATGCTTTCAGAGGTTTTAAAAATGTTTCCCTTGTTTCTTGTTCGTTTAAACACAAACTTATTCTAAAAACACTTTAGTCCCAGAAAATGGGACAGTCGATAAGGATTCATCACAAAAGGCTTTAACAAAGCCGTCAAGACCATCTGGTCCTATCACTTTTCTTGCATACTGAATTATTAAAGGAATTACCAACTAGAATGTTACTCGGCATTTTTAAAATGCCGTTGAGTCAAGAACGCCATCGCAATGAGTATTTAGTTATATATTTTTTATTTGAGCTCATGCTGTGACCGACGGCACTTATACATGTATATATATATATTTATATATCTTTAAGATACATCTCTCTCTTTTATATAATAAGAAGGAACATGAGTAAAAAATTATTGCGATTTCATTGACATTTTTCAACAATATCAAGTTAAAAACAACAAAAATTTAAGTATTAAAATTCATACTAGGAACACATTAAGCTGAAATTTTCCAAAACTCTTTTATTCTGACAAAAGACAGTTCCAATACCCCTTTACGTCAAATAGAGAAAATGCAACAGGTTTTTACTTATATAAAATGTCTTAAATTTAATCAGTCAATAAAAAGTGAATCATCCGCCAATGACATGCTAACAACAGGAATTTTCATTTGGAGTCTTTGGGAAAAACTTTTTCAACCACATTGGAAATCATAGTTCCAATGGAAGGCTCCGGCCCTCCCATTCTCACCTCACCACCGATAGACTGAAAGTAGGCCGCATAGAATAACTCTCGGACTTTGTAAAGCCTCTCCGCACGACTGAAAAAATATTTAATGTCATAACCTTTAATGTACAGGGTGAAACTTTGAATGAGAAACGTTTATACAGAGGCTACCTTTTACCTTTAGAAACAAGCATTATAACTTTGTTTACTCAAATTCCGTGCAAATCCGGATTTTTTTTTAAGACTTACAGAAACATATGCTCGTCGTTAATTGTAAAATGGTCTTATTAAATGAATATTATTATTTGAATTGACTTACCATTTGCGGGGTACTACGCACTCCGCAGGTTCGTCTCCGTCGACAACAGAACAAAAGGAACTATGAGCGAATGGAATGTCGCCGCAGGTGCTGGCAGTATCGGAACCTCTCAAACTTCCAGTTCCGGTAACGACTTGCCAACTCCCGCCACTGTTGGAACTATGGTTGCTATTATTACTATGAACACTGCAGGTGGTCGTAGAAGAATCTGTACGTTTCAATCGGGTACCAGTCGGTACCATAACGGGAGATGTACGGCGAGCTTGTGGTGAAGCCGATGCTCCCAAAGGAAGTGTGTCGCGGACATCTAGTGACATGGCAGAGTTTGCTAAGTTGCTACGAAAATAAAAACAAATGAAGAAATGCTAGATTTTGAAGGACTTGAAAATCTATAATTATTGAAATTTATGCTACAAAGTAACACCAAATTTTTTTAATAAAAACTCCTAATTTTACATCTGTCAAGATGTAAAATGAAGATTCTTTTATTTTGAAGATTCTTAATACCAATACCTTCAAATCTATATTTCTGAAATTGGCGGTTTTTGCATTTTATCGCATAAAAATAAAACAATTACAATTCGCACGAATCGAGGGGCCCGGCGGAGGCCTTCAGACCCACGTCGGAATTCATATACCAAGCCGACCGCACTTACAGGGTTGCCAGGTCAACTGATTTGAACTTTGATCTACTGATCTACTGAAATATCTTATTGATCTACTGAAAACTCTGTAATGATAAAACCATTTACATAGATAAAAAATCTTCCCGTGTTGTAGAAGAAAAATTAACATCATTATTATTATATGACTAAACTCGCCCTGCATCAATTTCCGAACTCGTTATTTAAAGGCATAACTCTATAAATTTCAAACGCGCCCAATTTTACAGTAATATAATAAAGTAATTATAGTTATCGGTAATCGAGTACTTCTAATAATCGAGTAATCACTTGAGATACGAAATATTGATCGTTTTCATCCCAGACTACTTGCAGTATATATCAGCATTTAGGGGTGCAGCCGCAGGGTAATAATCACTCGAGTGATGGGAGTAAACATCTCGAGTGATTACAACAATCCAGTACCACTCGATTTTCACTCGAGATCTCCCAAAACTAATTTTCAAGTTAGATGAGATGTCAGTGTCAATGTCAGAGTCAGATGTACAATAATTTTGTATATTAAACTTAATTAAATATGAGGTTTTATTTTCTTATAACTAGTTCGTTTTAGGATATATGTTTTTATTAAATCAATATATTTTGTTTTGTTATGTATTTTATTTGTACCTCTTTTGTTTGTTTTCTTTATTTCTAAGATCTAAAAACATCTTTTTCAGCAATATAAGTAGTTTTATTTAGCCAAATATCTCGTGATCCAATTATTTTTCTATAATTTGCATGGTATTATTGCATTTTAATTTAAATTATGAATCTCGCGCCGAAGTTAGGTTAGAGTGAGATACAGATGTTTCCGTTGTAATAAGTCAAGTTTTTAAAAGAGTTCTCTGTGGTTTCTAAAATTATTTTATCAAGTTTATGAATTAAAAGCTATTTTTTTTAATTTGTCTACCGATTACGAAAATATAGTTTAATAACCGATCCAGGTGTCTTTTCGCCGAGTGCTACTATGATATAAAATAAGTCTACTGATTTCTACTGAATTTTTTAACGCTTTTCTACTGAAGGAAAGAAAATTGAACTGGCAACCCGGCTCACCTAATCATCAACACTCGATCCGAGCAACTTCGCACTTACTGCGATAACGACTAAGAATTCGATCAGCAGCATTATTCGATCCATGCGACCTAGTTTTACGAAAAGAAATTCGGGTTATAATTGAATAGAAATGAATGTTTTATTTTATTCACGTTATTGTAGTTTTTTTTATTTTTAAGTTTTATGCGATAAAAAGCAAAAACCGCAAATTTCAGAAAGATAGATTTGAAGGTATTGGTACTAAGAATCTCCAAAAAAAAATTGAGAGCAAAAAAAATATGGCCTTTTTGAGAAAAACAAATTTTTTTCAAAGATGCACTTTTTGAAAAAATGCATATTCTGCCGAACAATGCATTTATTTACATTTTTGAAAAGGTAGACTTGAAGGGCTCCATTCCCTCTATCAGGTAAAATAAGAATTATTTTATCGTGTCAAAAAATAAAAAAAATAAGCAATCAAAATGCAATCGCAAAATTTTTTTTAAATTCTCTTTTCAGCAATGCATTTTCCGAGTACATAATATACGGAACTATGCATCTGAGAGGAAAAAGAAAAAATAGGGGTCCTCTTATTTCTGACCTACAATAATAAAAAAATATTTTGGAGTAGCTCGGTGACAGGGCCACATGGAGCTCTGCATGATTTGAGATGAAATCGGCCTATGATAGAATTTCACTTAACACCACTGTAAAATTTCAAAATGAAGCATTTTTTTACTGGAAGGAAAAGTAAGAGAATAATAATATTCTAGGATATTAACTATTTAAGTGTTCAAAAAAAAAATTATTCATAAATAGTACAAAATGGCAACACTGGAGCCATTCTCGTGAGGCATGTTGAATTTGAGGCGTTCTGCGGCACGCAGTATAATCGATGCAAAGGACCCCGCACAAATCTTATGGAAATTGGGTCCCGGTCAAATTCGCTGAATTTTTGATATGTGATAGAGTTCATCATACTGGTCAATTGTCTCAATGGCCACAAAGCTCAAAAATGGATAGTTTGGCCGGTACAGAGCTTTAAAGCTCCGAATATCCTCCACGGATTTATGTATATGCGCAGTGTGTATAGACTTTTGAAATAGCCTATTTCATTTTTTTTATTATCTAGGTTTATATTTTTGAGGTTGCTGAATTCAGATCTGTTGTTAGATTTTCAAAATTGACAGTTGGCAGCTGTCAAATAGCTGTCAATGTGCTATAATAAAGCCAAAAACTTGTTTTTTTATGTTTTATCTTTCTTTTTTTTTAGTTCGATAAGTTCAAAGACGATATCAAATCAATAACAATGACTATCGGCAGCTGTCATTTAGCTGTCAACAATTCTTCAAAGTCCGGTAATAAAGTCAAAAAATTATTTTTTGTTTATAACTTCAAGTTTTTTAGATAAGTGAATATAAATATGATATAAAATTATGTAGTCATCAGCTTACAGCTGTCAACAAGCTGTCAACTAACTGTCAAAATGCAATAATAAAGTCAAAAAGTTACTTTTTTTAAAAAGCTTTAAGTTGCTTAGATCACTGAGTTCAAAAGTGATGTCATAAACTTATATCATGTTTGATTTCTTATCCACAAAGTTAAGCACAAAAAATAAGTTACTTGCTCTATTATTGCATTTTGACAGTTAGTTGACAGCTTGTTGACAGCTGTAAGCTGATGACTACATAATTTTATATCATATTTATATTCACTTATCTAAAAAACTTGAAGTTATAAACAAAAAATAATTTTTTGACTTTATTACCGGACTTTGAAGAATTGTTGACAGCTAAATGACAGCTGCCGATAGTCATTGTTATTGATTTGATATCGTCTTTGAACTTATCGAACTAAAAAAAAAAAAAAATAAAACATAAAAAAACAAGTTTTTGGCTTTATTATAGCACATTGACAGCTATTTGACAGCTGCCAACTGTCAATTTTGAAAATCTAACAACAGATCTGAATTCAGCAACCTCAAAAATATAAACCTAGATAATAAAAAAAATGAAATAGGCTATTTCAAAAGTCTATACACACTGCGCATATACATAAATCCGTGGAGGATATTCGGAGCTTTAAAGCTCTGTACCGGCCAAACTATCCATTTTTGAGCTTTGTGGCCATTGAGACAATTGACCAGTATGATGAACTCTATCACATATCAAAAATTCAGCGAATTTGACCGGGACCCAATTTCCATAAGATTTGTGCGTGGTCCTTTACAGAGTGATTCAAAATTCAGTACAAAGAATTTAGTGGAGTATTTTTGAGGTCAAAATAAGATTTTTTTTCCTATAAACGTGTTAAAAAGTATGTAATTATTCATCGTTCAATTTTTAAATTATAAACTGACGAGAAATTAATAAATTGGGTACACAGTAACGTCTAGATAATACAAATTGATTAAAATTGTAGCAATCTGGATATCCCAAAAATCCGGTTTGCCATGTACGAACATACATACGTATTACATAATTGTGTATTCTAATAAATAAAACGACTGTATTGATTAACATTAAATCAAAACAAATCTATATTTTTATCACACATAAAATTAAATATAATTATTACCATCAGAAAACTTGAATATAACGTACTAAGAAACTAATCAGGATAATCGAAATTCAATTATCAAAACGTTACTGTATGATGTTACTTCTGATGTTTATTTTTTCAAAAAATAATCCCAATTTTGAATATAAAAATATGAATTTTAAAATGAACTTACCCATTTGACTCATCGCTGTTATGGTACCATGTTATAAGATCCTGCGATTTGTTGCTGATGGTGGAGCATATACTGTTCAAACTAACATTGGACCCTCTCAAATGATCCTGTTCTAAAAGAAGTTCTCCAACAGGTTCGTACTCAGACTTTATAGTAACGTCTTCTATTTTTTCAGTGTGTTTTTTGTGCTTATACCTACAATGTCAGTTTATTTCATGTATGACTTCTTAAAATTTTATAATATTAATATATAAACCCTTACCGTCCAGGGGCAACGCTGAATTCATCGCTCATCAAGTACTTGAGCATATAAAAGCAGAAGAAAAAAATTTCTTCGCCTTTTACGAGTCTATCTGAAAGGCGATGTCCGAACAACATCCAGTCATAGGCAATTGTTAAGTAGAGTATTTGATGGTCGTCTAACCCCTGGTGGATTAAACCATCAGCCCATAAACATAAACGTAAAAGAGAAATGAATAATGGTGTGCGATCCCACCCACTTATGCAGTGGACTAATATACCAGACGTGTTATCCTTAAATAAAAAATTAAATTAGCATTCATCCATTACACAGGCCCGTATGTCAATACTTTATAAAATATTAATTCATAAATTAAAGCAGATACTACATAACCTCAAAGTTTGTTTATTATTTTGTATTTTATTTATATGTTTACTTATTGAGGGATTGTAACAATTTTTATATTTGTTACAGCTTTTACATCTATTTTTTTTAATTTACTGAAAAATACCAATTTGCTGTTATAAGAAAAGCTTCCCACTTCGGCGCATAAATAAAACGTCACAGTAACGAACTCTGCGGTGTTTACATTGTGGACCCAGACTTGCATTTTCTTTAAGTCTCGTTTGAGACGGATTTCGACCAAACAGACAAAATACCAACAAAACAGAAACTCATTTGGTTTTAATACTTGAACTATGGTTAACACGATTAAATTATTTTTAAATTTCTTAGTGATGCTACGATTTCGCAACAAAATATCAAACTCTAGTTATAAGCATAATTTGAAGAGTGAATGAACGTTATTGATTCACAAATAAAAAACCATTAAATTATGTGATATGGAGAAAATGTAGTATGTTCAGTGATAAATACATTACAAGTTATCATTTAAAAGATATGAAAATACATGATGACAAAAAACTATTATACCATTATTTTTAATTCTATGAAAAAACCAATGAAGGTTATAAGAATCTAATAAGTGATAAGAAAAAATATATATAAATTAAATAAGTTTGCACATACCTGCAAATACTTGAGCAAGTATTTAATGTAATTCTGGGTCATAAGGATCAAATCCCATTGTTTATAGTTATTCCATTCAATCCTCAAATGCCTTAAAAGAGGATTATCCGGAACAGAAATGTTTGCATCACATTGTTCTTGAGTCCAGTCAAAAATAAGGTCTTCTGCAGTATAATTATTGTCACGGAAGTCTTTGAAAAACTCACACCCAGGATAAGGCAACGATATTATATTGAAATCAGAATATCGATTTTCTTTATCAACTTTTTCCGAAGAGGTCACACTAAAACGAAACAAATTTAATATTCTGTCACCGAATCCGAGACTATGCATTAAATCTAATGTAAAATAAATATAAAATCATCGTAGACAGCGAAAGCACAGCGACATCGCTGTCATCAGTCGTCAGTAAAATTTAGATAGTGACAGATGCATAATTACGAATCGACTACTAATCTCGGACCACGATAATACCATAAATCAGACTATTATTTTAATATCAAACCATTTTAGAAAGTTTTGTGATTTTTTTTTTACAAAAAACAGCAATATGAAGTTCTACATTTTTCCAGGAGTCTCACTAGCCGCGGCTTCGAAAAAATCACGCAACAAGAATCCAATAGGAAACGGAGAGGTAGACAATTCACTATTAAATGCCATTAATTACTTACTACATGCCGAATTTCACTTTCTTCTTCTCCACCATCAAGTCTACAATTGTACCAATATTCAATCGTTTTAGAAGTTTGATGTCTTGGCTGCGGACTTTGTCAAAAAGTTGCCAATCAGATGGCGTTGAGCAGTCAGGTTCCGAACAGTCCATTTCATCTTCAGATTTACTGTTGTCGATGGAACCATAGAATAAGTAATCTAGGCCGGATCTGCCGTAAATTTCTGGACCACCAGATAACGTGGAAGAACGACACACATATTTGCCTCTATAAAGGATAGTAGGAACGGGAAATCGCAATCGGCATCTAAAAAAATACGTTTGAAGAGTACAAATATAATCGTGTAAAGGGTTACAGACCTTGCATATCTTGCTCTATTAAACTGGTCTCTGATCTTTTGCAGATCAATACTCTCATAAATAGTGTCAGTAATTCGCTGAGTTGACTGGCTGCAATTGTTACTAGTATTAATGTTTTGGTTGCAGCCATTTTCATATTCTAAAATAAGTAATTGACTAGGGTACTGAGGACACAGTTCTCCGTTTTTATTACTGACCTTTAAAAGGCTGTAATCAATTTCCATTAACTTTGTACAACGTTCTAAAATACTGTTTGCCTAAAATCAAAGTTGGGTTAGGTCACGGGTGTAAACATAAAAATTGTATGTCTTACCTCATTGTCCTCTGCTTTGGCACCATAAGTATTCTTAGCAAAATATTCTAAAAGGTTCTTTATATCGAAACTAGTTACCAAATTCATTATTGAAGAATCAAAATTTTGGTTATCACACATGGCACTTGACATTTTGAAAACAATTGCCAGTTATGGCATTTGCTTGAATTTCGTATGCAACTTGATCACAAATGAAACTATTATCTATGTACGTATACTATTTTTTACCTACATAAACCATCTTTACCGAATAAAAGAGAATTTTCAGAAACAGACAACATCAACTTTAATTTCTACACAAACCATTCCTAACACTGAATATATGACAGTTGCCATGAAACAAATTTAAGCAATTTTAAACGGTAATAGCCACATGAACCAGTTGACCTATCACGCTTAAAAAATACAAAAAACTTGTTTTTTGCGGAAATATTTAATAAAAACCAAGAATAAGAAATACAATTATTTTATAAAAAAAACTGAACTAGCTACATACATATTTTCATTCAAAAATATTTATTAACTGTATCAGATTACCTATGTAATATTTACATTTTGACAACCTTTTTTGGGGACATTTAATTATTTGTGTGTATTAATGCTACATAATAAGTTATTAATTAATAAGCATTTTTAACGTTATTAATGACATAATTATTCACATCAGATTTTGTTTTGATAATTTTTAAATTCTTTCTATGAAATGGTCGATCATATCAGTAAGCGAAAGTATGCAAATTGCACTTATTGCAAGTTATAACAAGAGTATTTTTGTCTCTTTCCAACAACCGGCATTTTATGAATGTATGTGTATCTATTTCAAATTTCTGACATGTTTTTGACCGATAAAGTGTAGGTTTGTTAATTTGTCTGTCTGTTAAGGAATTTAAGGCCACAGAGTGAAATGCAATCAATTTTAAAACATTGGAAGGAAAAGAGATAGATAAGAATAGACGTAATACAAATTTACGCAGTTACAAACCTAGCCAAATACAATATTTTTTTATTTTAGTTTCCTGTAGTCGCAGTTGGTACTGACATCGTAGTGGTTCTAGAAAAGAGGCTGCGGCCTTCGGAAGCCAAATCAAGATTTTTTTCATAGTTCTTCAATTTTTCTCAGTTTTATCCCTCAAAAATGACTCGTAAGCTATTTTAAAACCCCTATAAGCAATACTGTTGATAATATTTTATATTTTCGTAGGTGGTAACCAGCGGGAATTGGCTAGAGCTAAGAACCAAAAAAAACAACAAGAAATGAAGAACAAAAAAAGTAACGATGGGCTGAGCCTAGAACAACGAAAATTTAGGTGAGATACTTTTGTTGTATCATAGATAAGGACCGTTTATGCTTTTCTCACGTACATAGATGCCTGGCGCCTTTGAAAGTAGTTTTAATATCAGTAAATAGATAATAATTGTCACTTGTAATAATTTGTTGTAAATATTATGTGAACATATTCATCGTTGCTTTGTCGAGACCTCATCACATGTCAACAGAACATTTTTTCTATTAGATTATACAGGACAGGATGCTCGCTTTCTAGTATAATCTCCTCGTAACTTAATTGCTCTTGATTTACTTGCTGTTCTTGTTATTGTTGTTGTTGTAACTGTTGCTCTTGTTGTAGCTGCTGCACCTGTTGTTGCTGCTGTAGCGGATGCTCTTGCTGTTGATGTTGCTGCAAGATATATAAAGAAACAATGCATCATTCAATTATACAATATTTTCTCTTATGAAATCTTTCTATTTAAAAATTTCTCTACCTTATTAAGAATCAAATAAGCTGCTTCCAACTTCCGAATTATTCGACCTTTTGCCATAATATTAACTCACTATTCGGTCAAGTAGTAATATAGAACTGCTGGACATCATTAGATTGAAAATGCAGATCACAAACGTACTCTTTTATTTTAAATCTGTTGACAGTCATTCACTTCACATACTATTACCATATTTAAATTATTTTCGAAACTGTTTATTTACCATTATAAAAACAAATTGTAATAATTATTGACTTGACTTCTAGTTTTTAGGTTAATATACCTCCCCGATATATCTACTAAACTCAATATAAAATAAAATTGGTTGTTATTTGCTTACTTCACTCGTATTTATTATGCTACATTCATTTGGGACATATAGAACACTAGCACCACCCCAACTTCTACCATTTCTTGGACAAATTTTGTCAATTTTCCCGTATGAGTTTGTGCTCCTTATCTAGTCTCCCTGCCTCCATATATCAAATGACATGATGACAATACTTTGTCATTGATGATAAATATATTTATTTATTTTCCAGTACACCTACAAAAAATTTAAATGTAAAAATTTTTTGTAGGGGATGCTTGAAAACATTTCCTCCCTTTCGATGATATTTAAAAGATGTATTTGAAGAAAAAACATTATTTTTGACATTATAAAAGATTGTATTATTTTCAGGGACGCGGAACTTATGAGGGAGAAACAGAAAAAAAAGGAAGATCAGAAGGGGCAAGCTCAAGCTTGTAAATAAAATGTCTTACATACAGATATTTTTTATTTTCTAACTTCATTTAAATGGAATACGTCTACGAAAATGTTCTCTTAATACATATGGTAGTAATAATGATTCCTTTATTTACATTGTGAAATATATGTAATATATTTGTATGTTGACATTTATGCCAATTTTACACTTTTATGTAACAATTTATCTTAAAATTGTATATTGTTTTGATTATTAATTTTATTATTTTAGAGATTATGTACCTTAATGAAAAATTTAGTACATAAATGAATTTTAAAAGTTGGCAATAGGTACTTCATTTATTGATTTTTGTAAATATCTAACTCGTATATGTTCGGGCAGTCTAAAATATTTTTTATATTGACTACCTATTATTTGTATTTTTTCACTTGTTCAGATAAATTCTAATCACAATAATCTCTGTGTCTAGAAATAATTTAATTATTGTAGTCTTACGTAGAAATAATTTTTGTCTTTGTATCAACCAGTTTGTAATTAAATAAGTGAAAACAGCTGCCTTTTCTTACTGTTGTTTTTCAAACCTGGTTAACAGACAAAATAATATTAAAAAGTTCCAAATAATAAGAAAATTAATTTTCAAAAGGGGTGAAGAGGCAGTGTTAAATTATTGCACCAAGAAAGTTAATGCGCCACATGTGGAACGTGGAAATTGGAACTTTACTATGGCCTGACCTACATGAGTATGGACCTCAATCCCATTAAACAACTATGGAATATGATTGGAATCTAGTTAATAAATTGATAAATTGGAGGATGGGGGCATCTCTTTATCGAAACAGAATGGACTGAACCAAAACAACTATTTCCAGCTTGAACTGTCAATCTAAAAATGCAGTTCAGCACTGAGGTGGATATACCCGATATTAATTTAATTAAAGTTTATTTCATATGAAAAATTGGGAACTTTAATTTTGGTTCTTAATTAAATATTACTTATAGGGTTAATTGACAAAAAAACATTTCGTGTGAAGCTAGCATTACCTATTAATAGAATCTAAAGTTTATTATGTTTCTTACAAAGTAATACGTTTTTGAAATTATTTTAGTGGTGCATTTATTTCTTGGAACAGGAAGGCATCATATCTTTGCTAAACAATTTTGTTATGTCTTGCATTTACCAATCTTTAAATCAACAAGTTGTTCAATATTCACAGTTTGTCGCACATGCATATTTTTATGTTATATTTAATTTAAGGCAAAAAAGTAAACCATAAAATAATAATTGTGTAACTGCAGTAATAAACACAATTTATTTTTTAGTTATTAGTTACTATAAAAATAATTGTCAAAATTCTGAAAACTGAAAGTATAACAATATATTTTGAATGAATATTTTCACCAAAATTGATCAAAAAATTAGATACAAGTTCTGTTTGACTGCCAATTCTTTGATCAACTTCTTAGTCAGATATTGGTAAATGTAAAGGTGTTATAACGTTTGAAATTTCTTTATCAATTTATTGAAAAATTTACAATAAAATTTCTTTCCAAAGTGAAATATATATTTGTGACATGATATTATTGAACTGTATTTAATGAAAAACCCTATAACCTAGCTCAACAGGTAAATATTTCAAAGATATTGATACCAAGAAATAGAAATATTTGATCATACAACATATATATGCCGTCATAGAAACGCTTTTAATTTTTTTTTTTATGGAAGTCATCTTGATTTAAGTCTGCTGTTATTTTTGTCTACTCAATATATGTATTTACTTAGTCAATGAACTGTGGTTCCATGAAATAAACAAAATATGTATATCTAATACTAATTACATAGGTACCTATAATGTACGTATTAAAAAAAAACTACTTCTATTTGGTTGATCTCTCGATTTGAAGGTTGAATAATGAATATACATATTTTGTAGTAAACATTAATTTTAGATAAAACTGAAAAAAGCATATCTGCCTGTGACAAAATTTCTTATTAATACAATTAATTAATAGGTTTAACATTTTAATTACATAATACATATATCTACTACGTTGTACAAAATCCAATGCAAAAATATAAATTGTCTGCCTATTGAATATAGATTTCTAGTAGGGGACCAATGAGAACTTGAAAAGAGGGATTAGTATGGTAAACCAAAATAATGTCAGCGACATCTAGCCGATAGTGGAGATTCTACAAAGTATTCAATAATGCTTATTAGTATCCTGTTATAAGAAGTTTTGCATATCAAACAATAGATGTCACGTATTGTTCAAGGTATTTAAAAGAAATCTAGTTTTCCATAAAAAAAATAAAGTTGTTTATATAACCTAAAAATACTTATATTATTCAGAATATAAAATGAATTTATTGGTCTATTACTTAAAAATTATTATCAGCCGTTTTCGGAGGCACAGAATTAAAATTATATTTAGGAGTGACAATATTATTGTTGTAGATAAAGATTATGATATGAAAATCAACAGTAATAATGACACAGAGGTTATTGTTAATTGTCTACATTTCCATATAATAGTTTCAGTTTTTTTTTTGTCGTTTTAGATTACTGTACAAACTCTGTTGAAGCAACAGTATCCTTCACTAGCGAACGATAAATTGTTCCATGAGTTTTACTTTCCTCATCGTCTAGATTATGCAACTAGTGGTGTAATGTGTATTCCAACAAATAAAGAGGCTTGTAGGGTGATATCAAATACTTTTCATACTAGAAGAAGTAAAAAATATTATATTGCAATTGTTCGAGGATTACTTTCTAAAGAAATCATTGATGTAGATATGGCAATAGGTGATAGTCATTCCAAATTTTACCCTTTTTTCCCTAGATAATGTTTAATTTTTTGTGTAGGTGAAGATATAAGGGAGCAAACTATTCAAAAAATGTGTACTGCTAACTCTCAGTATTGTGTCAAAAGTCGTGCTGCTAGAACAATATTTATTATACTCGATAAAGGTTTATTTGACAATTATCCTGCTACTAAGGTTCTGATAAGACCTGTTACAGGTCGTAGGCATCAAATCAGAGCACATTGTTCTTACTTAGGGCATACAATAGTAGGAGATTATACTTACAGTAACAGAAAGGATATTAATCCTTCAAGGATGTTTTTACACTCCTTGAGGTAAAAAATAAAATAAATAAAGTATATTTTATGTTTATATCTCATTATTCTAGGCTAGTATTGCCCAATCCAATGGAAAATATTGATGTTAATACGAGGGATCCTTTCATTGATTTTAAGGAGTGGACAACTGTTGAGAAAATAAATAGTATTAACAAAATCACTTATGATAAATTTGAGCCTTTTTTATATTAAATTTTTGTCAGTATTTGTTTATGTATATAAATAACTATAGTAAAAAAGTTTTTTTTTTATTACCTACTCCTTAATGGCTAAATGCTTGACAAAGGTGATACAAAGGAAATAATAAAATATTGTTAATATAATTAAATCAAAATTCAAAATAGTTAGACTATAGATCTTTTGAAATTCAAAGCATTTTAAGTTACTTCTTTATTTAAAAATGTTTAGAATACAAAATACTTGATGATTATTAACTTACCTAAACATTTAGGTAAAAAGGTTTTTACAATTTTCAACCCAAATTCAGCTAAAGTGACTTTCTGTGTACTTCTATAAATCTTAACTGATGTACTTTCTTACCCAAGAAAGATAAAAGGAAATTTCCTAGGAATTACTTATTTTAAAGCAGTAAAGCAAGTGCCTTTTATGTAAAACATTGTCAGATTTATTTGTTTTTATACCTCCTGAGGGGAATTTTACCTGTTATCATATTTAAGGAATTTTCTTGTACTGCAAAATGTTATTAATGGCCAGTAGGTCTCCAGAACTTGTGCTAATTGTGTGGTGTCTTGATTTAAAACTGGTGAGGACTTTATATGTGTGTAATTATGTATTAATATTTTATATTCCCGTATATAAATACTGCTCAACAACTACATATGATAAACATATAGATAACAAAAGTTATTCCTAGTTAATTTAGTAGACTCATATGAAACTCAAACATATTAAAGTTAAAGTGTCCTTCTATTCCACTGAAGAGGTATCTTTTTTAATGATGCTCAGCGGATACACACTGAAAGTGATATTTTGCCAAACTTCTACAGAAGGTTCCTTTGTCAGAATTAATAAAAAATTCAATAAACTACAGATGCCTTAAGAAAAGTTTGAAAACGTTGACAATGTTTTACATTACAAATCTTACAAATCTTATAAAGTAATCGAAATATAAGTACTTTTTTTGACTTTTAATTTTACCGAATAATCGTGTTTTTTTCCAACAGAAAAAAATTTTTCAAGAGCAATAATAATTTTTCAACTACCATTATTCTTTCGTACGTCCATTTTCTCAGCGAGAAAAAAATCGCCAATTTTTATCAAGAAAAATAAGTGGATCCTATAAACAGCCCATTTTTTACAACTCTATATAAACACGGATGAATAACCAAAAACGTGAATTAAATTTGGTACTGATATTTCAACAATTTTAGAAGATATTAAACAAATATCTTATCAACAGGTCATCTTCAAGGGTTACTTCAACTTTTTGTGTTAATTTCCCAGCAAAAACATTGGTACATATGCGACAATTCTTGTGTTTGTTGTGATATTTTTCCGGTCTTTACAATTTAAAAAATAAAACAGTTTTATATTACTTTTCTCTTACTGATATCAATATCAGAGTAAATTAGCTTTGAATTTAAATCGAACAAAATATCTTAGCCATGGAACATGTAACATTTCAATTATATTTTCGTTCTATATCTGGCGATTTGCCCCTATAATTGTAAACGGTATTTACTCTAGAGGATTAGAGCTATCAAATATTCATCCAGCAAAAGTTTCCTTCGAACTTGGATGCTGTGTGCTTTTAACAGTTGCAGGATAAAATCAGCAGGAATAAATTTAGGCGGCTATTTTGCATTAGTTTTATTTAAACTGCATTGAAAAGTTTCCAGTTTCTTTCAAAGGCAAATGTTATATATTCAGGACTATCTATATTATTAATTTCATTAAAATTTGTCAAATGGGCGGATTTTAATGGAGATTTTTTTAAAGGAAACTGTAAATCATAATTTCGAGAAAGCTGACGAATATAAATATGTATTTAATTATTGAAAATCGACGTAAAATTCTATTATATACACGGTGTCCTAATTCCCAATCCCATGCATGTACATTGAACTGTCATAACTTATTGGGGTTAAAATAAGACGATTTAAAATAGAACCCACCTCTAAAGTTGTTTGCTTTAGTTGTTGGAAAACGTCAATTTTTTTCCAACTAATTTTAAAACGCTTTAAGTGAAATTGGTGAATTGGTGAATACATTACATGCATGAAGGTGTCGCTCTTTGATATTGTAACGAAATAATTAAATAATTGCATTTATAAAGGAAAAATATCGCTTGACCCCCCCTATAAGAGTATGCTCATATTTTTGTGGTTGACATTACCCAAGCTCTTGTTTTAACATAGGATAAAATTTTTTTCAAGTTCGTTTTTAGAGCTTTTAATTTAAGATTTTAAAAAAATTTCATTTATTTAAACTTCTCTTAAGCTTAAATGAAATAACCGAAGTAACTGTAATTACCTTATATGTTTTTTTTACTCCAAAAATCTGTGGTAGTTACGTACAAGGAATGTTGAAACACTCGGTAAATAGGGGAGTTGTTTAATAGTTGACCTGGCTTTTTATACAGTATGTTTTGGAAAAAGGGAGTTCATAGACGTCATCAAAGATCACTTTTATGTTTGAGATACAGGGCAACAAAGACGTTTTTTTAAAAAAAATATGGAATGCATTGAAATTTGATAGAGATAATTTTTTTATACACCACTGTTGTTAGTTTTTGACCCTCTGCTAGATGCCGCTAGCTTTCCTTGTGACAACATACTATATAACTTTTTCGGGGTTAGGTTCTTTAAAGCGTATGTCGTATATTAGATATATAATTTAATTTTCGTAAAATTGCGTAAAAAGATACCTATGTAAAGGCAGTCCTGTTGAAATTGTTAGAAAATACCGTTTTTAAAATGTACGCAATTGACTGTCCCATAGTCAGTTTTTATTTTTTTACTATACAGTGTCCAAAAACGAATGGATAATACCACAAAGGTTCTTAGATGAAAATAATCAGATTTAGATCAAGTCTATAATTTAGCCGTTTTAAAATATTACGCCCCTTTTTGTTGTTAACAAACTAATACATAAACTTTTTTATTAGGAAAAAAATCATTTTTTAATGCAATGTTTCATCAACTTATGGTACTTATCCCAAAACACTCCGTATGTGATTTTTTTACGTGTTCTTTATTTTCAAATATATCGATCGTTATTACTTTATTGCTAAATTTTAATGCATTTCGTATTTGCAGAGTCTGACAATATTGTTGAAGAATGTTCACCAAAGGAGTAATAATTCTCTTATATCTAATAACGCAATTGGAAGCTTCTAATGATGTCGAGTCGTCACCATCTCAAAAACAAAGTGATATCACGGAACTCGCAGCAGTTGCCCAACCCTATTACAATGCAGCTATCATTGCGGCAGCTGCTGTATTAACAGGCGTTGGTTTGGTGGCCTTAACAGCTTTCTTCTTCCCTGTAATGGCTTATAAGGTGTGTTATGCTTTAGGAGGTTGTCAAAACACCATGGATTCTTACGTTGATGAACTTATAGGAAAACAACTCGGCAAAGCTAGGAATATAAGGTCTAGAAACAGGCGGTCTATAGAATATATAGAACCCATATTGGTAACACTAGCCAAGGCGTATGAAGAATACGGAGATCAAGATGTTAAAAAAAACTTCAAGATACCCAGCTATTACACAAAATAGCTGTCCTAGTTCAAATGACGCCGGTGGTGGTCAACATTTGTAGACTTATCTTTTTCTTGATGCACATTTTTGGTCAGATATATGGTTTGGTACTGCATTTCATTGAACTTTTTAACAGATTTTAAGCTGCAACCGTTAAATAATATAATATACATATAAAAATATAGTAAGAAATCTATAAAATAGGTTATAATTACAAAAATGTAAACAATTTTGTTCTGTAAGGTTAAGTATAATTATAAATAATATATTTTAAACGATTTCTTTGCTAACATTATTTATGTCATAATGGCTGCTTTATATTTAATTAATATCCAAATAAAAGTATAGTAGTAACTTTTATATAGGGTCTTTTGGTCGACGAGTCGACGTCCTCCCACAATAAAGAAATATTCAATGTGTTACTTATTGTATATTTACTGTAAAAAGTAGTAAAAACTATACGTTTATTTAAAGCGGGACAACTTCTCCACTGTCCTCGAAGCCAAAAGCAGAGATCTCATTCCTATCTACAATAACGGCTTAGAATGCAACAGACATATACGAACAAAGCATGGAAATGAAAGAGAAAGAACACGAAAGCGTCGACATCGTCTTGCGATATCTATAGTCGATTGTCATTTATTCTTGCCATGTGTCCTCTCCATGGCATTGGAATGTTTAGTTCAAGTTCAGTGACATCATTACTCACGTGCGTTGATATCACGTGGATGTTTTTTGCATAAACATTAACAAATACGTAATTTGAAGAGTCAAAACTTTACATATAATAATTTCCAACATTAAACACGGGTTTAGGCTCATTTATAATAGTGTCAATTATTTCAGATTGATTTAAAAACTAAACATTTTTTCTCGGCACATTTTCAAATTAATTAAAACGGAATATTCATAGCTGTAAACTAGTTAAATATAAGTAAAAGTATTTTAAAATTGAATTTTTAATAGTGTAAGCCCCATTACTGTGTTTTGTTGTAAAAAGTGTGAAACTTTTAAAAATATTGTGTCCCCTGCCTATGTTAATACGAAAGTGAGTGTTGATTTTCAAATTTAAAATGGATAAAGATGTTTTAAGAAACACAATGAAACAAGAAAGGTGAAGTGCTTTGCGCAGTACAAAAAAATCGCCGATGAAGCAGATAAATATGACTTCAACGAAACCGTTATTGACCACTTCGGGTTATCAAAAGGATCGGAGGATTGGATGCCTTCCAAATCATTCGAGGTATGTTAACTGTTTAAAACTGATCTCCCTATTTTTATATCTACGAGCTACCACTGATTTGATAGGTCAAATATTGTACATGTTGTATTCGAGAAATACCGAGCTATGCTAGTAATGAAAAGTAGGTCATATATTTTTAAAAAACTTATCATCCAGCATCCAGCTAAGTATTATAGGTATGTAGACCTATTTTGATATTTTAGATGTAACCAGTTTTTTCATTTTTACCCTAACATAGTTTTCAAATAGCAGTACCCAAGTAAATCAGACATACAATATTATTTGCCATTATTAAAATTTGTTTTCTTAACTAAATGAAAGTCTGTATGAAAACGTTTTTCTCAACCTAGCTGCAAGGATCAAATATTTTTTATCGTTATGATCACCTTGCATTCTTGTTGAAAGACAGTTTTCCAGAGCTATTCTTATCAGGGGATAATCTATATACGGAATTTTAAGAACTACCCAAAATCAATCACCCTATGCTAGCTGAATGCGTCCGAAAAATTCGATTTGAGCAAATAACTTGTTGTTCCCAACATAAAGCTCAATTACCCCCCCCCCCTTCCCCCTCCCCCTAAAAAAAAAGATGCAGTACTTTTTATGCCGGACAATAAACTCTAATTCTTTGTTATATTCTTTCGAGTTTATTAATTTTAAATGTTCATGTACTGTTCTCAAATTACATAGTCATTGTTTTATTTCAATAAATTTGTTACTTATTTATTTATTTATTAACCTTTTCGATGACCGGCATTTAACAAGTATTCATGAAATTTTAATTTCATATAGTACTTCAAGCAATCAAATTTTGTAAATGCCCTTTTTAACTTTTAGAAGTAACTTTTTTTAAAGAACTGCCTTTTCGGTTAGAACTAACCTTTAGATTATGGGCTGATTCTTATACGTTTATTAATTTGAAAGTCATGGTTCGAATAAGGCATTTTAAATTTGTATGTATTTGTATATCGTATGTATGTTTATATTTGTACCTATGTAGCGGCCCGTATGAACGCCTTAAGACATTAATTTCAAGACAAGGACAGACCAACGTCTGTGTCTTGTGAATTTGAAATTTTGTTAACACTAGAATGTCTCGAATCAAAATTGAACCTTATTGACTAACGCCACTGACCGAGAACTTCAACTTGTCCGTGTTCTCTAATTGTAAGTGCGAATGTGAAAAGCCCTTGCTGTTCATGCCCTTCTGTTTCTCCTAATTAGAGAGCGGAGCACCCTCTTACTGAGAAACACTCGACGACGACACTCGACGATACATCGTGCAGGGCAAAAAATCAGTTAAATAAACCACAAAGACAAAGAGATTGATTTTGTGTTACAAAAGAAATGTTCTAGGTATATGTTTAAACTTTTTATATATTGCTGCTTTGCTTTATGTGACCAACATACTTTCAATATAGGTTAACAGTTAAAATTGAGTGATGTTTTTTTTAACAATGGCACAAGTACTCAATTAGGTATTTTTTGGCACAGGCAAAAGATGATTTCATTTAACTAAACCAACCGATAATTTTTTAACGTTTTTACTTTTGTTACAATTTTAAAAATCGTCTCCTGTAAAATATTTCGAGTTATGCCAGTCAAAGCGAAGCAGCGATATATTCATTATTATTGTATTCTATTATTATTTAAAAGTGTTACCAAAAGTGTTATCCACTATTTTCTATATTTTCGACGTAGGGAAAAAATTAAATTAGCAAATTATTTTATAAAGATTGTACTAGTTTTTTGTTCTCAAAATTTCTCAGTGCAACTAATGTGCGAATATTTTATTAACTATTTAAAAAATATATATTACAAAATGACGGGTAGGTATTTAAAGAACTATCTTTTTTTGCATGCATTTGAAGTACTTTATACTTTGGACTACAAAACCCTTTTAAGAAAGGCATATCCTGGAAAGCGCTATGTCACCTTTTCATTCAGCGGCATTCTCCATAGTTAATCATAATATCCGACATCCACCCAATCCTCTGTTAGGCAATGGATCGATTGCACTATTGTGTATATTGTAAGTAGGATAATCAGAACAAATATGAAGTTTCATCCATCTTAATTCATAGCTCTTATTTATATATCCCCGTTTCCCAAATCCTTGGGAAAACACGGAGTATAGAGCAGATGAATCGTAAGGGTGTAATTCCTAGTATCCGATATGCCATATTATCCATATTAGCGAACTATTGTTTTAGCTCTACGAAAAAGCATTTTAATTGTTTCCGCTCCAGTGGATTTTTTCTTAAGAGAACAAGTGAAACATAATTATGAATCATTCTGACGAGTAACTTTGACAGAAGTAAAAAATATATGGGGCGAATTAAAACGGGACAAAATAGAGGGTGTTACAAAGAATGAGACACATCTTATTGGAAGTTTGTTGCTCTTTTCTGTGTCAGAAAGATATGTCATTTTATTTATTTTATTATTTCTCATATTTCCTTCAAGTTTTCACTAGCGGCAGGGTATGAAAAGGATAGGTTAAAAAAACACAGTTTTGACTATGGAAAACTTGACTTTGAGAAAAGTAACTTATGTTTTTAAATATTAAACGTAGCCTCTATATAAATATGACTTCCACTTAAATTAGTTGCAGAGTAAACTAGCCTCTATTTTTGTAGACCTACCGCCGCTTGATATACTTGCATTGTATTTTGAATCACTAAAGTAGTCACATTTGACAAAAGTAAAACGTATTATACAATTTATCCACGGATGGAGCTGAAAAGAAGGAACAATTTGGTGGCAGTCGGTTTTAATTTTACAATTAAAAAAAAATTTAAAAGTAGACCGACTATCTTCTCGCCCATGGTATATGGACATACATTTTAGTTGTGAACAACTTTGTTCAATAAAATTTTTCGTTATCTTGTACGAAAGAGGGATTTTACCTATAAAAAATACATTTTTTATTTGTGACGATGTCTACTTCATTTATCAGAAATAAAAATATGCAACTTATTAGTTTTTAATCATAGAGCATCGCTTGCCAACATTTCAGCTTCATTTGTTGTCATTCACACGCACTCAGCCACAAAACATTTTTCCAAAAAAAAAACAAATTTTATTACTTTTTCTTGTAAAATGAGAAATAAAAAGTTCCCTTTTCAAATTCATCCGTTGACACACTATATTATATTTTTTTACATCTTCACACTTCGTAATTATGCTTATTTACCGTGTGCAACAAAGTATCATGCCCGACGAACAACTCTTATCAATATTAATCTAAACCAACCATTTTTTATTTTTTATTCCCAGGAAATTGAATAAAGTAAATTCTAGATGAATCTGACTGAAAATTAAACTTAATTTAAAAAAAAATTGGACACGATACATCACGAGCAAACGATTGAACACGAAATGTCTCGAAACTACATTTTTCCGGAAATAATGGTGTCGATAAGTACCTTTTTTCGTTAATGACTTCTGTAGTAATTATTTTAAATTGTCTAACAAATCATTATTATTGCCGACTATATTTTTACTGATGTTTGCCAATACTAAATTTATCCACCAAGTTTATTGAAATGTGGAATTCCTCAACTGCAATAGCTTTGTCTGGAGCTGACGGCATCGGTTGATTTGACAGATTTACCCCCCAACTTACCCAAATAACAGAGAGTTGCATCCACAGATCACGTTACAGGAACTTGTATTACTACATCAGAAAAAGCAGGGGAACGAAACGCAATTACAGTTATATAAATTTTTATTGCTTTTAAACAAATTGACAGTTTTATTTCTATGTTTAGGGTGCCTTGCACCGTATATTAGGTATATAATAAGATATCTGATTACATTGGTCACGTACACGTACAGTGTCGCTCAAAAGTAATGCATCGATTTTTTTTTCAAATCGATGCAAACTCGAGACCGTACCTAGCTGAGGGTTCAAATGACTAACCCTCATGTATACAGGTGCAAATATTATGATAGAAAGTGGGTGTCCTACGCGTATTAATTATACTATATAAATAAAAAAGTATTCAACACTTTATTCATATTAAAATAATGTAGATAAATTACAACTATTTAACTACTCTGATGTGACTGTTTTACATTGACAATTTATTCACGATTAAACACGCAGTTCTTTATTAATAAAGTCATTGACTTACAATTAGTTAAAAGCTAATTTGGCGAGGTCAGATTTATTATATGGTACTACCTATAGGTAGTCCCATTTTTTATATAGACGAATACTTAACCCCACTGCTTATTGAAATTCACTCAAAAACTGAGGAAAGTTGAAACACATTCTAGATTATGGTGTATTGCAATTTCTTCATGAATAGATTGTAGTTGTAAAACAGTCATTAAAAATGTAGTAGTAATAGGTATACAGATATATTTGGCGGTAAAAAATTCCAACCACAACTAGTTTACAATACATACATAACAAATACAGTCTTTTTTAACTTAATAGTAGTTTAACTCTATTGGGTTTTTGTTGTAATGACTAACAACGAAAATTAAATAATTGCCAATAGCTACACAAGTTTTCGAATAAGCAAAGATTTGAACAGGTTCTTTTTAAATGAGAATTATCTCCAAAAATTATATACTGAGAGGTAGATTAAAGTCTTTTATAGTGAATTACTTATTTGTGCTATTTATTAAACGAAATTTTTGTCTATGACAGCTTAGTAACATATATTGCAACTTTTCAAAATTATTTTAGATTTCTGTGAGAAACAGAAAAAACAAAAGTTTATTATAAATGAACTGGTAATTATTAAAAAAATTTGTATATACTGAAAAAAATTGTGACAAATTAAAATCTCAGTCATTCTTTAAGTATCTCAAATATCAAGTATATTTAAAATCAGATCAAATATTTACGTGGAGGTATGGAAACAATAGAGACAGAAAAATGCAGTACAAATACAAAAGAATGTAAAAAAATAGTGACATTACACAAAGGCGTATTTAAGCAAAAAGAAAGTATCACAAAATCGAATAAAAAATAATACTAATTTAATATAAAAAATATGTAACATACCTAGTTGGTTTTATCCGTAGTAACTGTCATTCTTATACTACGTTTTTTCTTAGTTAGCAGAAAGGCTACGCCTATAATAGCCATAAGGGCCGCGTAGACTACAATTGCATTTATAGCTGCGGCGGACCAAGTATTGGGACCATGTCTTGCATACCTCATCTTAACACCGTCTTCGCTAATAACGTTGACATATCCATCAGCAGATCTAGCGACTCTTTGCAAGTTTGGCTGCGGCTCACAACCAGACTCACGAACGTATTTGGCCCACGTACGGTTGGTTGCTGTCAATGTGCGCTGTGGATTAATGAAAGGTCTACGACCAGGTACTGTTTTGTTCATGACGATGGTGAATGGTTGGGTACCAGTATCGTAATTGCAAATGAGAAGTTTCTTTTTTTTAGTTTTGCCCACAGAAACGTGTTCTTGCGTCAGCGTTGAGCCCTCTAGAATTCCTAGGTTTCCTTTCTCTATATTAGCCCAATCCCAGAGGTTAGCTACAGAGCAGTCGCATCTCCAAGGATTGCCAATGAGTTTAAGTTTCTCAACGTTGGGATTCAAAGTTATTTCTTTGGGTGAGAAAGTTGTTAAATTGTTATACCTCAAATCAAGAACTTCAAGCATTGGCAAGACTTCGAGGAATCTTAAATCGTTCGGCGACGCAAAGTGGTTGCCGGCTAGGATGAGGTTGGTAATGTTTGTCGTCCAATGAAAAGCGTTAGGAGGGAGGAATGTTAGATTGCAATTGCTGAGATCTAAAGTTTGTAGTCGGGAAAGTTGCTTGGGGAGGAGCGGTCCTGTTTTGGAAACATGAAGCGGGTTTCCAGCCAGCTGAAGTTCCGTTAAGTCTGTGTAGGTGAAATTGTTAAAGAACAACGTCGCGTTGAGTGGACGGCGGAGACCGCAAAAGTTTAACTCCAAACTTTCCAAATGGGTCAGATTCCCAAACAGGCCTGCCTCGAGGTTGTTGAGATCGTTGCCCGATAAAATCAATCGCCGCATGGACGTCATCTTCGAGAAGGACTCCGGAGCTAGGTGGGATAAGTTGCTGTAGCCCATGTTTAGATATTCCAAAGTTTCCAGGGGAGCCAGTAGCTTTACGAAGGCGTCGTTCAGTGGATTGTGAGATATGTCTAACTCTTGCAAACTTTTGAATTTATCGAATGTATCTGGCAACCGGCTTAGACCGCAATTGCTTAAAGAGAGTTTGTGTAAGTTTGTTAGAGGTGATAGGGCCAACAGTAAATCAGAGGCGAACAACGTGTTGCCCGATAAATACAGGTTCCTTATTTTTGTAGCATTGGCAAATGCATCTTCCGATAAGGGAAGGGTTAAGTTGCAATCAGATAAGTCTAGAGTATCAAGGTTCTGAAGGCTCCCTATAGTTTGTCCCACATTCAATCCGGCTAGATTATTCTCTGCTAAAATTAGTGTGCGCAGATATTGGTTATTGTCAAAGAGATCACCTGACAAACTTGTTATACCAGAGTTCCTTAAATCGACATATTCCAGAAGCACCAAATTTCGCAAAACTGCCACCCAATTTGTCTCATAGAAATTATTCCCACTCAACTCTAAATTTTTTAGATTTTTTAAAGTTCTAAACGCATGATCCGCGATATGTGTTAAATTACAATTATTCATCTTCAAAGTTTCCAAACTGTTCAATGGATCGAATACGTTATTATTTATAGAAACAAGAGGATTCTCTGATAAATCCAAGGTGGCTAAATGTGTTAAATTGTTGAAGAATTGGTCGTTTAAATTTCTCAAGCTGCAATTACTGATGTCCAAATAGAGCAAGGATTTTATAATTAAGAAAGGTCCCTCAACCTCTTCCAAAGGATTTCCTTGCAGCTCTAAGTTTATCAAACCAGCAGAGTCGCTGAAATGAAGAAGTGAGACAGAAAATAATAAATAGTGGTAAATAAATGAACTATTTTAATTATGAATATCGTATCTATATCGCTTATACGAGGTGATTCATTAACAATGGGAAAATCGAAAGGTGAAGATACTACACGTAAAATGGTGACCATTGGCGCAAATATGCCTTATCCGAAAGCTAATAGTTTCGGAAATACAGGGTGTTGAAAGTAAAAATTTTAAATTGTTTTTTTTGCGATTATTCTGAAACTATGTAGATTAGGAACTTGAAAATTTGTGAAACTATATTTTTTTAAACGTCGAATATGATGCGTATTGCAATTTCAGCGTTGGTCATAGAGGGCGCCACTTACCAATTTTACCAAAAATTTAGTTAATAATTTTTTAACCTGTATGTCTAATATGAAACTTGCTCCAAAACCTGAAAGAGCAATAATTTTTCCATTATTTATGTACTCTAGTTTCATTTCGGTATCTCGATCCGTTTTCGAGAAAAATCGATTTAACGAACACTATATTTTGATAATACGAGAAATTAAAAGCGAAACAAACTAAGTGTTTCTTCATGTTATTACAACAATTAATGATAAAACAAATGAAATACGTAATAATGATTTAAAGTAATAATTGTTCGAAGAATCCACCGTTGACACTGATACACTTTACACAACGTTTTCTGAGATATCTTCAGGTTTGAAACAACCAAGGACATTTAAATAAAGGGGACTTATTTATTTACATTTCTACATGAAGCCTGCTCTATTCACAGTCTAATTGCATCATTGTTGTCAGCTGTATAATTATACTGGAAATGTACTTAATATTTTTATCGCAATTTTCATCACAATTGTGAAAATTATTATTATAAGATAGTTTTATTAAGTTATGCATACAATATTGTTAAATTCTGTACATATTAAACTATTTTTCATTTTTCATATTTGCCATGTTTGAAGACTTGGCAACTACGCAATAATTTGTAGCGTGTTCCTCGTTCGTTCTGCCGTGGTTGGCAGAATATGGCGTCTCTTGTTAGAAAATAGTTGTGATTTTAGTAAGTGAAACGTGATTAGTGTTTATACATGTATTTTGGATAAACTTTTAAGGTGTGAATATGGTTAGACAGTGCAGAATTTGTAAGAAATTGGATTATAAACATCCACATCAGCTATCCTTTCCACAGGTAAGCGTGCTTGAAGGTGACTTTGGAATGTATATGCAACTGTGGCCATTGTCGTGCGTGTGGGTAACTTTTATTTGAATAACGGTAAAATTTTATAAAACTGACTTGGTATTTTTTTAAAATTAAATTAAAATATATTTATAGGTATTTCAATGTTATCCCTTATACCCAACATTACAAATTTTAATCATTCATCATTTTCATTTTCCTCTACGACAAAAACCTTTTCAAAAATATATTTACAATTTTACTAAATGCACGAGCATAAAAACTGAATAAATACAACAGCAAAAATATGGTGGTGGTTCACTTATACATAAAAATACCGAAGATGCAATCAACTGAAAGTTGCATTCATTCAACCATTTGATGTTCTCCTTTGGGAATATATTTTTATGTCTCACTGAAAATTTGCCTCAGTATTCTAAAAGTGAAATGTGAACGTTTTTAGGATGCTTGGGGATGGTGCAACAAGAAAGAAATGGTTAGTTATTGGGATTCCAAGAAGTTATAAAAATATTATATATATTTATTATAAAAATACTGAGTAGATGTTGAAATATATTGACTTAGGACTATAAAATATTTTATTTTGACCCATCCAAAATGTACGACATTGGAGATGTAATCGCGCGCATCAGTTGGATGAAAATAAAGCCCTCTGCTTTCCCCTTGTCTAGCTTCACCCAACATATGAGATAGACTGTGACATGCATAGTCCCCTTTATTTAAATGTCCTTGGAAACAACATATTGGATTTGCGTCTGACTTCGCTGGCAGCGATTCGTATTGTTTGGCACAACTCTTCACATGAACCAATAGATTCTTTGTAAACCATATATTTCATTCAAGACCAAAAAGAAAAATCAAGAGGATTGAAGTCCGGACTTCTGGGTGGACAAGCAAAAATGCTTACATGGCCAATCCAGCGATTTGGAAACACTACGTTTAAATATGCAATGCACGCACTGGCCGAGAAAAATACGGTGGAATTCCGTCGTGCATGAACCACATGTCTCTTCTTAAATAAAGTAGAACTTCTTCAAGCCGTGGAAGCATTTTTGCTTGGCCACCCAGAAGACCAGACTTCATCCTCTTGATTTTTCAATTTGGTCTCGAAAGAAAGATATCGTTGACAAAGAATCTATTGGTTCGTATGAAGACTTGTGGCAAATAATACAAATCGCTGCCAACGCAGTCAGACGAAATCCCAATATGTTGTTTCAAACTCGAAGATCTCTCAGAAAACGTTGTGTAAAGTGTATCAGTGTCAACAGTGGATTCATCGAACAATTACTTTAAATCATTATTACGTAGGTATTTCATTTGTTTTATTGTTAATTGTTGTAATAACATGAAGAAACGCTTAGTTTGTTTCGCTTTTAATTTCTAGAATTATCAAAACATAGTGTTCGTTAAATCGATTTTTCTCGAAAACGCATCGAGATACCGAAATTAAACAAAAGTACATAATTAATGGAAAAATGATTGCTCTTTTAGGTTTTGAACCAAGTTTCATGTTAGACATACAGGGTAAAAAGTTATTAACTAAATTTTTGGTAAAATTGTTCGTAAGTGACGCCCTCTATGACCAACGCTGAAATTGCATCATGCATCTTATTCGTCGCTTAAAAAAATATAATTTCACAAATTTTCAAGTTCCTAACCTACATATTTTCAGAATAATCGCAAAAAAACGATTTAAAATTTTAACTTTCAACACCCTGTATTTCCGAAACTATCAACTTTCGGATAAGGCATGTTTACGCCAATGGTTACCATTTTACGTGTAGTATCTTCAGCTTTCAATTTTCCCATTGTTAATGAATCACCATGTATAGGCAAGCCAAATTGTTTACCTACATTTTTCAAATAACAAAAAGACGGTTTAGAGAGACTTTTATGCAACAATATCCACTGACCACGAAATAAATTGACATGTAGGTTGTTGAAATGAACACTTTTTACATCAGGCTTTTAAACCCTGCCCGCTATAAAAAATGTCCATCGAAATTGAAAATAATGGACCTTTTATTCTTGTTACGTACAACTGATATTGAGGATTGGTATTTCATTAATGCCCACAATTGATTCATTAAAGTTGGTTTCTGAATTCTCTCCAATACTGGGAGATGTCAAACTAATCACAGATCTACTCAACTAATTTAAGTTTTTTCGAGTCTCGCCCTTACTAGTCTAACTTTAAAACCGATTTTGCACAGGGCGTTCTACGTAACTCTTCCACACCATCTAATTGGAAAGGTATGTGAAATTCAAGAGAAAATAGGATTGGTACCATAAATTATTACGGTTAATTAACCCGTTACTGTTATATTCAATAATTAAACTATTGACTTACTCAAAGGCATCTATGTCGATCCTCTTGATCACGTTGTAGGAGAAATCGGCATCGATCAAATAATGCAAACCGGCGAATGACTGCTTCTTCAACTCAGTTAGCAAGTTGACAGACAGTTGCAACCTCCTCACTTTGAAATCGGGAGGGAAGGGCTCCACATCCTTGATGAAGTTATCGTTGAGGTCCAAAACGTATACGTTAGGGCTCAACTCATTATAAGGAATCTGTGTCAGATTGCTGTCGGAGCAATCGGTGACCCAGTTGACCCGGAAATAGTGACAGTCGCAGTCATCGGGACACTCCAATTCGGCCAGCTCGCCGTTGAAGGACCAAGCATAGTGGAAGTAGATAGCCAAGGCGACGTTGATTATAACTATAGCCAGTTTCATTTTTCTGAAACAAATGCGTGATAAAGGTCAATATTCAGGGTGTAACCAATTTTGTTGAGAAAACTCCATTGCGATTCTGGGAATCGTTGATGAAGCTAGTGAATATTCCAGCATAAGGAACTGGACGATTAGGATAAATTTCAACATAGATACAGAGCTCCAAGTCCATTACCATTAGCACACCCATACATAAAATTCATGTCTGTCATTGGCGTATAATAGCATTGTTTATGTATTGTATAACTTTATAACAAAAGTAAACAGTAAAATAAAAGTGCACCTAATCTACTACTACACTAGCGAAAAAATCTATCTTAAAGGCGATATTTCAATACTTTGTATACAGGATGTAACTTTAAGTGGCGGGTCAGTTTTTTAGGGGTAATAGTACGTGTTCCCCTGAACTCGAATCTGAAATTATTATTTTCATTTTAGTCAAATAAATAGTCGAGTCGATTCGTTTTTTAAAACGCACTTTAATTTTTGTGTACGCTACTGAGCGGCGTAAATCGGGGCACTAGGAAGTTGTGTTATTGCACTATAAACGTTGCCGGTCGTTTTTAAATAAATAAATAAAATATATTGTATTTGTAAAACTTAGCAAGGTGATATTTTAAAGTCGCCATATTTTTTTGATAACACTGTAGTCAAACATTAAAAACAAAACGTTCTATCGTTTCTAAAAAAGAAAAAATAGTACATGATTTATTAAATATTGCCTAATATTAATTAGTACAGAGTACATTACTAATTGTAAATATTTTTTTAATTCATTGTTGGACAACAAACCTAATTACAAATAATTTTGTGAAAACAGATTAATTTAATATTACGACTTGTTATTTTAAAATCACCATATATATTTTTTTTAATAAGGAGGAGGCGTCGAACACTAAAAAACCACTGTTTTGTTATTGTCCTCGCACCTGATTAAAACAAGAATGCTCCAAAACTGCACTGTTTCATTTGGTTACATGTTTGTTTAATCTTGGACTTTATCGGTTTGGGGAAAGTTGCTGCTAGGTTACTTGTTAAATACTGTTTCATAGTGTGTCTTATTTAAAAGAATATAATTTTAGTTTTTGTGGGATGGTAGTAAAGTAACGTGCTAACCCTCACGGCGAGTGGTGTGGAAATTTGATTTTTAATAACTTTTCCTTTACAAATAAGATTTGACAACAATGCACAGCCCAGTTCCCCACTCAAAGTTACACCCTAAGAAGTTTCTTCCTAAATTAAATTTTCTATCAATTCCTTAAATTCGTCAGATTAAACTGGGACATTCTGTATCTTAAAAAAGAAAGGTTTGGGGGAGAGGATTTTCCAATATTTCCGTTATAACTCTGTGTGGTACATTTTTACCCTCATATCGCCGTATCTCCTATCACCTCTATAGGTATTATGATTTGAATAGGGTATATGTGTAAATAAGAAAATTGGAGTTCGGTCTTTCCTGGGGGCTTTCCGAAGACTAACGAGATGAATGTGCGACAGAAAGGCTGCGAAATAAATTCGTAGTGAAATAAAAATGTTAGCAATTCATTTCCTCGTCGCGATAACTTGAACGTACAAAAAGTTTATTCTTTCGGATAGAACGAAGTGTTGCCAGGAATTGTTCGAAATGATTGATAACAGCCATCCTAACTATACAAACCCAATTGTAACAACTGAAGTTGAAACATGGCTGTACTTTCACGACAGGAACGTCAGCGCAATCTTTGAAAAACTCGCTAAATGAGCGCAATCGCCAACAACTTTTTCGCCATTATTTATGCACTTTCATTTGATATTCACAAAAACTAATTTAACAATTAGAATACAACAATTATGCATTGTAAGATACTGTATCCTTACTTATATTTTTTTTACCCATAAATTAATTTATTTACTGATGCAGCTATGTGATTTGAGTGTTGTTTATTTGCTAAGAAGGGAAATGGTGACCTCGCTCTTAAAATAATTATTTAAAGTTTAGCCACCAATGACAAATATGAGGTAGTGATATTTACTAACATTCTACTCCCTTATCTCTCTTACTAATCATAGTTTTATGGAAATAGTGTGGGACATACGCGGAAAACTTGTCACAAAATTTCTCAAGCAAATACCTCCTACAATGTTTAAGATATCGCAGCAATCGAGGTGTTATTATAGATATTTTCAAGACCTTCTGAATTAACTGTTTAATTAAAATAAAAATAAACAAAAAATTTGGTATGTATTAATTTATAATTTATATTAATAATGTATTTATCTTATATTAATAATATATTTTCACCATAAGTAACGGCGGTGACAACATTTTTAACAATAAGGCGATGCTTCGTGTTGTATTAGCTATGTCCTGTCCAAATTTGGTTAATGCATCTCAGTTTTCAGTCACGAAAATTGAATAATTCCAAATATTTCGAACATGACAACATTTTTAACAGCAACGTATTACACATCACCGGAGTAGGAAGAAAGTAGAGAGAGAAAATATTGATAGATTTGTATTAAAAAAAAAGAAATAAACTGATGATGGTCGCTACAACATAGAACGTTGCAATCAAAATCTGTTTCTATATTCGGAAAGAGGGGCAAAAATGGCATTAGGAAAATGCTTCTATTTTCGTATGAATTTTCAAACAAACTCGGAAAACGATATAACTGAAAATTTTAGAATTTTTTCTTAGAAAAATTGTATACTAAATTAGGCAATTTAACCATTGCAATTTTAAACACAACAAAAGCTATCGACCTATTATATCAAACTAAAACCCTTTTCATGACTTCAGTTACATTATCAATATTTATATAGCGAGTTCAAAAAAATCCAATTATTTTGTTAAATAAAACAGTTAGGTAGTTCAGAAGGCCTTGAAAATATCTATCATTGATACCTCGATTGTTTACAATAGCCTAAATATTATAGGTGATACGGTTTAGCGAATTTTAAGTGACGATGTATTTTCCTACAATTTGTTTATACAAAATTTTATCACATTTTTGTTTTAAAATTATTTAGAGTAATTTTTCAAAAAATATTGGGATAGATTTGACTACACGCATGCGCACAACAATGTATACATATGTATTTCCAAATATTAGTTATTAATTAAGATTAATATTAGTATGCCTTAGTTCTGTCACATATGCAGAGGTGTTAACTGTTGTGAGAACTAACTGTCCTAATATGAATATATGTAAAACAAATTGCAACAATGGGATTTGCTTGAAAAACAGAGATATACAGGGTGTCCCGTTCATGTTTAAAAAAAACTTGTGTGCAAGTTCCTCATGAATAGAAAATAATAGGGGTAGCTTATGTAAAGTTTTTTTCTTAGACGCCCTGTTTTCGAGATACAGTGTGTCACTTTCCAAATGGTTTTCCTTAATTATCTTTAAATCGGCTAAAGATAAAAATGTCAAAATTTGTACACGAATAAATATCAACTGTGCGTTAAGAATAATGTGCAAACGGTTTCTTTCTGAAAAGCAGTATCGCCGATACAGGTTATTCAAGAGGTACAATCGAAGAAAAAATATGTTAAAAGTCAAAATTTCTTACATTTCTAAACGGTTCTGTAAACTCTAAAGGATACTACAAACAAAAGGTATAGTTGTCGAAATTCGGTAACATGTACCATTTTCGAGGAAAATGATGTTGCATTTTTTTTTGCTCACATAAAGCGGCACAAGTACATTAACAAAATATTAAATTGAAAGAGGACTTTACCATTGAATGAGTTGAAGATATTTAGCTACCAACTATAATTTTAATTTCTTACGTATCACATGAGACAGTTAAATTGTTTTAACTAAAAAAAAAAATTAAAATTTATTTTAAGTTTCAGATTGTTGTAAATTAACATTTGAAAAAGTTAATCAAAATAAACAGGTTATGGTAATTATTATTAACTAATTTTAGAGTTTGTAAACTACTACACTACCATTACTAAAATAAACAATTGTTGAATGGACTGAATTGTTGATGGACATGAATGCTTAAAAAAGTGATAAAAACAAAAATATTAGGAAACAGACTCGGAGACATACAGAACAGAACAGCTGCACAATTAAATAAATGTAAAACTATGCAACTTCATTTTTCTAGAAAATGGTACATGCTACCGAATTTCGACAAGTATACCTTTTTTTGTAGTATGCTTTAGAGTTTACAGAACCGATTAGAAATGTAGTAAATTTTAATTTTTAACATATATTTTCTTTCGATTGTACCCCTCCAATTATCTGTATCGGCGACACTGCTTTTCAGAAAGAAACCGTTTGCACATTATTCTTAACGCACAATTGATGTTTACTCGTATACAAATTTTGACATTTTTATCTTTAGCCGATTTAAAGATAATTAAGGAAAACCATTTGGAAAGTAACAACTTCAACACACTGTATCTCGAAAACAGGGCGTCTAAGAAAAAACATGAACTACCCCTATTATTTTTCCATGAGGAACTTGCACACAAGTTTTTTTGAAACATGAACGGGACACCCTGCATAACTGAGCGTTCGAATCTCTTATTTTTTGAACTTGTTAGCTGCAAAGGAGTTTTATAAAAGGAAACGACATAAAGGGGATAGTATGTTATGGTGAATATCCCTGTACAAAAAGTCGAAATGAAACCTATTACCACAGAAAAATTAAATACAACCGCCATAAAAGTTTATTATGGTTCAGAGGATGATGCGGCCCCATGCCTTTGTTTTACGAGGATCATATAATGTCAAAACATTATTATAAAGATGTCTTTACGGACTAGGGTGCTAGTAATGATGTCACAATACGGTTGACAGTCATCGGATGGGGGAAGGGATTTTAATTTCCCAATGTTAAAATGGTTTTGTCTTTTCTTTAAGTTTCCATTATCAATTTCCTCATAAAGTAAAATATCTTATTAAACATAGTAAGTAAAGTAAAATAGTAGTTCTTTGCGTTAGAATTGTTTTTCGAAATATAAGCGCTCCTTCACACGAGCGTATTTTTTCTACCGAGCAAATTCATCA